CATCCAGGTTAATGAGAGATTAGCACATCCAGGTTAATGAGGGATTAGCACATCCAGGTTAATGAGGGATTAGCACACCCAGGTTAGTGAGGGATTAGCACATCCAGGTTAGTGAGGTATTAGCTCATCCAGGTTAGTGAGGTATTAGCTCATCCAGGTTAGTACATAGAACACAGAACAAAGAACAGTACAGCACAGTATAGGCCCTTCGGCCCACGATGTTGTGCTGAAATTTTACCCGAAACCTAAGGTCTATCTAACCTCCACCGCTACCTTATACTATGATGCATATGCCTATCTAATAGCTGCTTAAATGCCCTGAATGAAGCCGACTCCACTTCAGAGGCTGAGGGGTAACTTATAGAGGTTTATAAAATAATGAGGGGCATGGATAGGGTGAATAGACAAGGAATTTTTCCTAGGGTAGGGAAGTCCAAAACTAGAGGCATGTGTTTAAGGTGAGAGGGGAAAGATTTAAAAGGGACCTAAGGGGCAACTTTTTCATGCAGAGGGTGGTGTGTGTATGGAATGAGCTGCCAGAGGAAGTGTTGGAGGCCGGTATGATTGCAACATTTAAAAGGCACCTGGATGGGTATATGAATAGGAAGGGTTTAGAGGGAAATGGGCCAAATGCCGGCAAATGGGACTAGATTAATTTAGGATATCTGATTGGCATGGACAAATTGGACCGAAGAGACTGTTTCCATACACTACAGCTCTATGACTTTGAGATCAGGAGTCAGTGCTCCCGGTAGGACGTCTGGAGTCTGTGCTCCCTCTTGGGGTCAGGGTCATGCTCCTAGTTGGGGATCAGGGGTCAGTGCTCCCTCTTGGGGTCAGGGGTCATGCTCCTTTGTTCCCCCACCTCCTATCAATGAATGATGAGTTTGTGTCTTGCAGAAGGCAGAGAGGCAGCTGGAGGAAGTCCAGGCCTCAGTGACTGAGCTGCGGGTGGTGAGTCAGCAACTTGCTGAATATTTCTGTGAGGATGAAGAGAAATTCAAACTGGAGGAATGCTGCCAAATCTTCCAAAATTTCAGAGAGAAATTCATCGTAGCGACACAGGTTGGTGAGTCTGAATGGGAGGGGATAGGTGTCTTCAATCTCTCCATCAGTGAAGTTTCTCATCCTTGGAACTATTCTCGCAAACCACTTCTGCACCCTCTCCAATGCATTCACGCCTTTTCTATGATGTGGTGCCCACAACTGTACACAATCCTCCAGCTCAGGTCTAACAAGTGTCTTGTACAAGTTCAACATCACCTCCTCCCTCTTGTACTCTATGCCCCTATTAATAAAGCTGGGGACACTGTCTGCTTGATTAACCACATTCTTCACCCGTCCCGCCACATTCAGTGATCTGTGCACATATAGACCTAGCTCCCTCTGCTCCTGCACCCACTTTAGAATTGTACTCCCTATTTTATATTGTCTTTCAATGTTCTTCCAAACAAAATGCATCACCTCGCACTTCCCTGTATTGAACCTCATCTGCCATTTCTCCACCCACTCCACCAATTTATCAATGTCCTATTGGCATTCCACACTGTCCTCCTCACAGATTACAATTCTTCCTCTGCAAACTTTGCAATTGACTCCTATGCATCAGACCCAGATAATTAACAAATATCAGAAAAGGCAAGGGTCCCAAAACTGACCCCTGGGGACCTCCATTACAAATGCTCTTCCAGCCTGAACAATATCCAATGACCATTACTCTCTGTTTCCTCTCAATTAGCCAGTTTTGTGCCCATGTTAATAGAACATAGAACATAGAACAGTACAGCACAGTACAGGCCCTTTGGCCCACGATGTTGTGCCGAACTTTTACCCAAAACCTAAGGTCTATCTAACCTCCACCCCTACCTTATACTATCATCCATATGCCGATCTAATAGCCGCTTAAATGCCCCTAATGAGGCCGACTCCACTACCCTCTCCGGCAATGCATTCAACGCGCCTACCACTCTCTGAGTAAAGAACCTACCTCTGACATCTCCCTGATGTCAGCCCTTCTTGCCTGCTCTGCCATTCAATTGGAGTTCACGTACATAGATCTTTGAAATTTGCGTCACAGGTAGATAGGGTGGTTAAAAAAGTGTTAGTATGCTTGCCTTCATTGCTCAGACCATTGAGTACAGGAGTCGGGATGTCATGCAGTGGTTGTACAGGACGTCGGTGAGGCCACTTCTGGAATACTGTGCAGTTCTGGTAGCCCTGTTATATGTAAACTATCTTTGAACTGGAGAGGGTTCAGAAAAGATTTACCAGGATGTTGCAGGAATGGAGGGTTTGAGTTAAAAGGAGAGGCTGGATAAGCTGGGACCTTTATTTTTCACTGCAGTGTAGGAGGTTGAGGGGTGACTTTATAGAGGTTAATAAAATCATGAGGGGCATAGATAAGGTGAATAGCAAAGGTCTTTTCCCCAGATGGGGGAGTTCAGAACTACAGATGAGAGAAGAAAGATTCAAAAAAGACATGAGAGACTTTTTTTTACATAGAGCGTGGTTCATGTGTGGAATGAACCAGAGGAAGTGGTGGATGCAGGTACAGTTGCACCATTTAAAAGACATTTTGATAGGTACATGAATAGGAAATGTTTGGAGGGATATGGGCCAGGAGCAGGCAGGTGGGACTAGTTTTGTTTGGGAACATGGTTGGCATGGACTGGTTGGGCCAAAGGGTCTGTTTCCATGCTGTTTGACTTTGTGGCTCTATTAATATGAACATGGCTGATCATTCAGCTCAGTACCTTGTTCCTGCTTTCTTCCCAAACCTTTTAATCCCTTTAGGCTGAAGAAATTTTATGAACTCCTTCAAAATATTCAATATTTTGGCCTTAAACACATTCTGTGGCAGAGAATGCCATAGGCTTCTCACTCTCTGACAGAAGACATTTCTGCTCATCTCAGTCCTGCTCAGTATCCTTCGACTGTAACTCTTGGCTCTGGACTGCCCTACCTTTGGAAACATCCTTTCTGCATCTAACCTGTCCAGTCCCATTTATAGGTTTCTATGAGATCCCCTCATTCTTCTAAAGAAATATCACATAGAGTGAATTGAATTGGTTGAAGACTGGTATCAGTAATGCTGGGGACCACTGGAGGTGGCCGAGATGGATCATCCACTCGGCACTTCTGGCTGAAGATTCATGTGAATGCTTCAGCCTTATCTTTTGCCCTGATGAGCTGGCCTCTTCCATCATTGAGGACAGAGATATTTATGGAGCCTCCAGTGAGTTGTTTAATTGTCCATCACGATTCACGACTGGTTATGGCAGGACTGCAGAGCTTAGATCTGATCCATTGGTTGTAGGATTGCTTAGCTCTATCACTTGCTGCTTTTGCAGTTTGGCGTGCAAGTAGTCCTGTTTGGTAGCTTCATCAGGTTGACCCTATGTGGGACAAGGCCATTGGTTTGGGATTGAGACAATTGAGATGATCTGTAGGGTCCTTCTGAATTGTGTTCCTTCAGCAGGGACTGTTTCCCACTGCCTCTCTTTCTCCATCTCTCTGTTTCTCTGCTTCTCTCACTCTCTCACTGCTTCTGTTACTTGGTGTCTCTCTGTCTTTGCAGGAGAACAAGCAGCGTGCTCTGTTGGAGAGGAAACGCCGAGAGAGGGAGAAGGAGGAGAAGAAAGCAAAGCGGATCTCGATTGCGAGCTGTTCTCACATGGAGAAGGATCTGGGAGGCGGAGATCTGGAGTCACTGCTGCATAATAACCGGAACTCATTTCGACAGAGGAACAGCCGACAGGGAGAAGGCTCGATCCCCAGGAGCCAGTCACTGAAGCAGATTCGGGCAAGAAGCGAACAAAATGATTCACGAAATGGGTCCCTAACCCGGGACGATGCTCAGAGGCTGAGGGAGGTTTCTAAGAAGCTGCTCGGTTTCCAGGTTGGAGCTGAGAACTCCGGGCAGCGTCACAAACAGAGCAAATTCGCCCAGACCTCGCGAATCTCTGAGGAATACTGTGAGCCAGCCAAGGCCAGCACTACCCCAAGTAATGGGCACGCGGAGGTGGGTCAGGAGCAAAAGGAAAGGCTGCTGGGATCTGGGGTATCAGGAGTCCCTGCCGTTGGTGAGTCAGAACAGTCTGGGAGCCTGGAGCCAGCAGCAACCCAGCACCCTGGCAGTTTGGTCCCAGTAAAAGCCCAGCAGACTGGCAGTTTGGATCCAGTAAAAGCCCAGCAGCCTGGCAGTTTGGACCCAGTAAAAACCCAGCAGCCTGGCAGTTTGGACCCAGTAAAAACCCAGCAGCCTGGGAGTTTGGTCCCAGTAAAAG